ATTATTATTATTATTATTATTATTATTATTATTATTATTATTATTATTATTATTATTATTATTATTATTATCTGTCTTATCATTTTTATTAGTTCATATAGTTGTGATTCAAATAGCCAATTGTAAGTTACCTTAAATTAGTGAGATTTACATTATTATTATTATTATTATTATTATTATTATTATTATTATTATTATTATTATTATTATCTGTCTTATCATTTTTATTAGTTCATATAGTTGTGATTCAAATAGCCAATTGTAAGTTACCTTAAATTAGTGAGATTTACAATTGTATATATATAGTATATCACAAAATTATTAAAGTTTCCATTATTATTATTCAAGGGTGGGTAGTAGCGAAGTAGTTGTAGTTCGCTACTGTAGCGAACTACAATTTTCAAGTAGTCAGTGTTTTTTTACTACATTTTTAAAGCAGTAGCTGTAGTCATAGCAAACTACATTTTGCCTAAAAGTAGCCAAGTAGTTGACTACTTTTCAAACAGCAAATCGCTATTCGCTACTTTTAAAAATGGTTAACAACTTGACAGAATAGCATGATATTGAGACACGGTTTGCTTAAAATCGATACTCAATAGTCAATTTGCACTCCTGAACACTGTAGTGATTACATAAATGTTGCTTTGTGTTTACTGTTGCTACTCGTTAGTCGATTTGTTATAGGTTACATTATAGTCTGAGTTAGGATAGATGCTCCAAATATGCAGTAAAACTAAAAAATATGGCGTAGCGAAGTAGCGAAATAGTTCGCTACATTTTTTAAGCAGTACCTGTAGTCAGTAGCGAACTACCTTTGTTCAGAAGTAGCAGTAGTTGTAGCAAGGGCGGTTATAAGATAGGGCGGTGAAACGCCAGCTGACGAGCTGAAACATGTGTGATGCACTTTAGGCATGGGGCGAGCGCGTTTGTAGAAAAGTTCTAGAAGAAAAATTTTTTAACATTTTTTTTTTAATCTCAATTGAAAACCTTTTTACTTTTCAGTTATTAACCCAATGCCGACAATTCTTTCTTTTCTGTGTTCGCATTGTCGTTGGCTGTCGCTTTAGCGTCTTACAATGAATTTCGTAACAGTGGCAAGGCAAATTTTTTGAGCATCAAACTACGAACGAGACGGGCTACGTTTTCGATTTTTATACGAATGACAAAATATTTGAATTTTTCAGCGACAAAAGTATCGTTTGGTATTTAGCTTTTGGAGGTTGTGTCCAAGATGTTGATAAATACTTCTAGCATAATTTTATCACATAGTTTTTTTAACCTTTTTTGCAATCCCTTTTTAATTTCGTAGTATAATATTTTTACATCACAAGAGGGTCTTAAAATATCCATAATAAAACCTTGAAATCATGTTTTTTCTCACAGTTTATGTACTTATTTGAAAAACAAGACATATATTCCTTTTACTATGGACATATGTTGTTACCACGATAAAATTATAACAGGAAAACGTAAACTTACTTGCACGAAACATTTGACCGCGTCACAACATCAGAATCGAAACTTTCAACGATAATTTTTCAATAAATCTTTAAAAACTTCAGAGAAGCCCAGGAGGTTCGTAAAGGCAACATAGTGACTGCTGAATCTAATACGATTCATATTATTCTTGTATGAAGTAACAATTTTTTTAACCTTTTTCAAAAATTTTACTCAAAGTCGACCTTCGAAAAGTAAAAGTTATCTCGAAAGCAATTCTAGGTTCCCAGGGGAATGGGACGAGTAAACAATCAACAATGAATTTTAAATCAGATGCAAAGAAAATGAAGGCGGGAAAATCAAAAAGCGTACGGGAAAGTTTAAATATGTAAAAACAATTATTAAAGGTAAACAAGAATTTATATAATTAAATTTTACATCGTTTTTCTATTTATTATACTTTAAATATGAACAAAATTTCTTTTTAAATGTTTCATAATTTTCTGCGAATATCGCAACTTCTACGTCTATATAGCCTGATTATTATACGCAAACTTTAAATATATAGTACGGAGACGTGATGAAAAATAAGGCGGTATAAAAGAAAACAGTCGTAAACTATATTTTTTTGGGTCGAATATATTTTATTTCGTATCCGCTTTATCTATATTATTTTATAGTCTGTGGACGTGGTGGGTCCTTAGCCTACGCATGGCTTTCATAGCATTTATCACGTCCCGTACTGGATATTAAGTCATTGCCTAAATATATTTTGTATATTGGTAGAGTTTCTAAGAGATAAAAATAATTATATAGCCCTTTTTCAGGGTGGAAAAAACCATGCATGAACAATATAAGCAGGGCGTCTATTTCTATGATTAACACTTTCTTTTTTTTATTCTTGTCTGAGGACATGTTGGAGTGGGACAAAATGGGAGAGGGGGGGGCTGAAAGTAAAAATGTATGCATCCAAAAGTGATTTAGGGAGAGGTTAATAGATGATTTACAACAATACATGACAAATCTATTAAACATAAGGCATATCAAAACAGAACTGAAAATGAGCCAAGCCCCTCCCCCCCCCTCACCCTATGGATTAATTTTTCTGAAGCATGACTCCAAAGTTGTTTCTGAGGGGTTAAGCCTGTTGACATCATTTGATCTCTGCAATATTTCTGAGGGGTAAGGGGAAAATTTACAAATGCAAAATTTACAAGGGTGCTTTGTGTCAGTACTTTGATCTTTTTTCTTCGAGGTTAAAATTTTACTTACCTCATCCATAAGGGAGGTGCAGGTATTAAATGGAATGGGCGAATGTGACAATGAGAGGGTAACATCTAGTTCTGTGTAATTTCTATTTATCATTTTTGACCTATTTTTATACCATTAGAATCATGTCAAATGGTGTAAAGAGAGACATGTCACCATCCCTTGAGATGAGCAAGCGGCAAGCAATCTTTGAAACTCCACCTCGACCTGCAAGGTCTTTTTTGGAGACTTGTGCACCCTCATGTTCTACGCCTACAGATGCAAGTGCTATTGGCCTCAGTAATAATGGAGCATCGACATTAAATCCCATTTGTCCAACACCGTCTGGCATTGAGATGGCAGTGAATATCCCTGTATTATTTCCAAATAATGGAGCATCGACATGGTATCCCTCAGGGATCAATACTTGGCCCCGTTTTGTTCTCCCTATATATGAATGATCTACCCTTAAATATACCTGAAGCAAATGTTGATGTCTATGCCGATGATACAACACTCTGGAAATCTAATGGTGACTGTATTAAAATTCAAAATGATCTTCAGAGTAGTCTTGACTGTGCAAATGTCTGGTTTAAGCAAAATCATATGAAACCTAATATTACGAAAACTAAACATTTGCTCATTGACACTCACCAGAAGTTGCGACACGCAAATATATCTTCTTTGGAACTTAACCTAAATGGAGTACCTATTGAAGAAGTTAAAGACGAAAAACTCTTGGGTGTAAAATTAGACAAATATCTTGTTGGAATGATCAAGTTAACTGTTTAATGAAAAAATTGAACTAGCGATTTTTCTTGTTGAAGAGAGCCAAAGGTTATCTGTCTATTTCTGGTAGAAAGATGTTGTATAATGCATTGATTAAATCAACACTGGAATATTGTTGCACAGTTTGGGGCAATTGCTCAAACGAACAACTATTAAGACTTTTAGGATTACAAAAGCGTTGTGAATCGATGTATAAAATAATCTAATCAAAATGATGTATAAAATAATCAATAAAATGTGTCCACAGTATTTTGATAACTATGTAAGTTATATTAAGAATCGGCATGAATATTGTACTAGAGCATCTTCTAATATGAAATTAGTTGTACCGAAATGCCATACAAGATCTGGACTTCGTTGTTTTCATGCT